TTGCTGATGCAGATCATACTGATCGCTCCCTCGTGGTGCCGTCAGTGACACAGGCAGGGATCGATTAGTAGGTCTGCATCAGCCTGAGATGCAGATCACACTGATCCTACACTCCACCATTACTATAATCCCCATGTGTCACACTGGAGCCCAGGAATGCAGCCCCCCTTCCTGCAAAACAGGTAAGCAGGAGAGGGGGAATTTTTTTTATTAACTATTGTTATTAGTTGTGTGTGTATGTGTGTTTTTATTGTGTGTTTTTTTAATGTGTGTGATTTTTTTTTATTATTAATAAAGCTATGTGCGTGTGTTTTTAATGAGTGTGTGATATGTGTGTTTCATTAAATGTATGTGTGGTTTTTTTTTTTAACCACTTCCCGCGGGTTCATGTATATGTACGTGCTCCGCTGGAAGTGGTTATACCAAGAATATGGCTGCTCCTTGTACCGTTTTAAGGCCTGTTCACACCACTTGCAGTGCGTTCCGGCCGGAACGCACTGCATCGCATTGCGGCCAGCTCACTTTTTTGCCGGGCTGGAGGCCACAATGCGATCGCCCGCACAGGATCGCAAGGCACATTGTGCCTGCAGTGCGTTCGGGTGCGGTGCGATTAAAATGCTGCAAGCACTATTTTGATCGCACCGCACCTGAATGCACTGCAGACACAATGTACCTTGCGATCCCGTGCGGGCGATCGCATTGCAGCCGGAGGGCATGGCTACGGTGCCATTCACTTCAATGGGACCCTTGCGCATTCCTTATGGTGTGAACTAACCCTAAGCCCTGCGTCCAGTAGACATGTGCGATTCGTTTCGGAAAAATTAGTTTTCCGGACGGAATTCGTTAGCGGTAGTCTGTACACATTTTCGTTTGTGGACGAATTTTCATTGCCGCAAAGTGACAAAAAAATGTTTTTTTATGTCACTTTGCTGCAATGAATACGAACATGAAACGGAAATGAACATTCGTACAGACTACCACTAACGAGAAGCTCCTCTTTACAGAGACTGATGTGACTGTGGGGCGGACATTTTGTCAGGCCCCATGCACACCTAAGCATTTTGTCAAAGATTCCCAAAGCATGATAGTGCTTGAGATGAAGAATCTCATTATTCTCAATGTGCCCATTCACACTTGAGTGTTGTCAATTGTTGCCTGTTGAATGAAGCTCAAAAAGTACACAAGCTTCTTTGGGGACAGAGTCCATTGTTTTTGGCCCTATATACATTTAATGGGAGTGCCTAAAAAAAACTCCCATTTAAAAGTCTTAGGGGCCTAAAACATGATTCTGTTTCTGTACTCTGTCAAACAAAAGTTTGAAAACACTTGTGTACAAGCACACAAAAAATGACTTTAAATCATCTGCATGTTCTCACAGTTAGGTGTGAATGGGGCCTTATACTGATTATTCAACCAGAAGATGTTCTGTGGTCATAACTTAAATGCTCCAGGGACACCCCTTTGTCTTTAAGTGGTTACAGTGAACTAATAATTGAATGTTACCGTCCTGCTGTGTTAACACATGATCAAGTGCCTGAGCACCACACATGTGGCCAACTATGCAGGGTAATGGGAGCAGAATTATCTCTAGGAAATATGTTATTCAGTCTTCTATTACAATTTATTTATATATTCATCACACAAAATCTGGTAGCATAGATTTATAGTAAAATCTTACTACTGACCCACATGAAGATATATTTTTCCATTTTTAAAATCCATTAGAAACGTTTACTAATAATAATGCCTTATTAGTTTTTATAGAAAATGTAGGTGCTGCCATTGTATGTTTTTACAGGTTTTGGAGCTGATATCTTGATCTTAGATTCACTACTTAGGGAGTCAGTTATCATGAACAGTCAGTGATGTCTGAAAAGCCTCAGTTCCCATCTTGAAAACTTGTTGGAAGTCAGTGTTCCCTGACCGACTGAAGCCAAGATCACAATGACATCCATAGATGATGCACCTTAAAAAAAAGTAAACTGTGGCAGATTTCATATTTTTTGTCCTCGCAAGTTTCCCATACCTGAATGCATCGTATGCATAGTACAGTATGCCAGTGAGAGGCCTCGTTGTTCTAGAGCTAGCAATACTATAATTTACAGTAACATGTGATTATCTTTATAGTGAATCTTTAACCTGCAAATTTTTGCCTGTGATGTGACAACAATAAAAAAAATCCCTGCTGCTGCAAGGGAGATCCTTTTCACAGGAATCTGCATGTGATGTAACATTTGTTTAGTGCAAATTGAGTACATTTGAACTCCTGATGTGAGCAGCTGTCAGATGCTGTTCCCTGCATGCTATTCACTGCATTTGCTTTGAGGTATTACACAATAAGAGAGAAATAGCCCTTTGTGTTGCCAGTACCGACCATGACCAAGAAAATAAGACAAAGAGAAGCAAGCTGTCATTTCTGCAGTGGTGATTAAAGATCATCTGCTCATCTCTATTATGTCTAGAAATGAGTATGTTTATTTTTTTTTTTACCAGGTGTCTGAATTAACACCAACTGGGGATGTGGTAGGTCATGCTGTTACTGTAGTAACCATACGAGTTGTTGATCTAAATAATCACCCTCCAACCTTTTATGGGGAAAACGGACCCCAGAACCATTTTGAACTTACTATGTATGAACATCCACCAGAAGGAGAGATACTACGTGGGCTTAAAATCACAGTCAATGATTCAGATCAGGTTAGTAGACACTTTTTTGTACCCCATATAATGCACTGTTAAGAAAATGTATCGACAGTCTGCAATACAACTTACAATTCCAATTAAGTGGAATTATGTTAATACTTTTAACAGGGAGCAAATGCCAAATTCAACTTGCGTTTGGTTGGACCTGGAGGCATTTTCCGCGTAGTGCCACAGACTGTATTAAATGAGGCTCAAGTAACAATAATTGTGGAGAACTCTGCCGGAATAGACTATGAAAAATTTCATTTGTTAACCTTTAAGGTATATATTTTGCTTTTCATGTTACTGTCTGAAAATATTTTTTTTTTAATTGGTGATTTAGGGAATTCATTTTCTTTGTATGTATCTTCTTTAACCCTGTAATGTATTGTATTTTAAGTTATTACTTTTTCTTAGACAGCTTTTGGTTGTTTTTGTATATTTAACTATCCACCCTAATTCCCTTTTAAAACTCAACATTTTAAAGGCAAGCTCCACTATTGCTTAAATAAATAATAATTAATATAGCCTGTAAAATTGCTACACAAGCCCTTTTGTAATTTAATGTTATTAAAAATGACCCTTCCATTTGGATCTGTAGCCACTGTAATTCTCTAAATCTGTTAAAATAAATCAATGCAAAATGGCAACCTGGATGCTTTCTGTACAGTGTTGGTGTGCAGCACACTCCCAGAAATGTAATTTCCTGCTTGTGTGATTGGCTCACTGGTTTTCTCATAAGTCTGCACTATGATGCACGTCATATTTTAGGCATCCCCTGCAAATAAAATGACATTTTTGGTGAAATCTGCCCCGTGGGTTAAGTACTTCTAAAGAGATGCAGACTTCAACTTGCCTCATCAGAACACTGAGTGGTGGATGAGGGAATTTTAATAAAAGCAGACCCTCCTTGTAACATTTTTTTTAAATCCTTGCAACACACAATGATAACCCAATGAGGGTTGTTTTTTTATTCTCAACATGGGCAGGGCTATAACTTTAAGTGGAAAATAACTGTCAGAGAACTCAAAACATCTGGTTTGACCATTAGTAGGAAATGATGAAGGCTGATCATACCACGACTACGTCTGGCATTGATGTCTGCAAACAGAATAAGTGACATAGGAATGTCATTGACTTGCTTATTTATTGATTACTTAGCTTTGGGTGAATTTCAGTCATTAGTTGTCTTCTTCAAAGGTACACACATACATTCAAATTCCATAGTAAGACTTTTCTGCTAATCTTCATTCAATGTAATCATTTGATGATTGCAGTATTTGTGGTGGTATTTAAAAAAAAAAAAAAAAGTTGAGTTTGAATTTGATAATTGGATTGGTGGTGTTTGTTTTTTTTTAATTTTTATTAAAGTGAAATGTGTATAGTGTCCTTTTTAAATTAATACTTTTTGAGGGAATTGAAATTGTAAAGTGTATGGGATGAATGGCTTTTCCTTGATTATTAGCTTAAAACTGTTTTTTTTCTAATATACTTTTCCATTTTTAGCTTCTTGCCATTGAAGTTAACACTCCAGAAAAATTCAGCTCAACAGCAGATATAACCATCCATCTTTTGGATATTAACGACAATGTGCCAAAGTTTTCCTCAGAATATTATGTTGCAAGAATCCCAGAAAACTCCCCAGGAGGGTCCAATGTTGTAGCTGTGACGGTAAGTGCCCTTTATGAGCTACGGTGATTTATGATATGGTGCCCCAAATCTGTGCATTGTGGAAAATGTACCATAGTTAGCATGTTCATTTTAGTTTTGTTTTGCAATTTCGAAATGCAGATTGCATGGGAACATATATATCTGGGTGCATATCTCAAGGTGCTGACATGATTGCTAAAGATATTTCTTTATTGAATGTGATGGACCTTCATAATTAGTTATCAGAGATGCCAGTTTATCTTAAACTGAAAAATGGGAAGATAATTTTTTGTAAGCCAGCATTCCTATAATTTCCCCCTTTAAATGTTCCTGCAATAGTTATCAATAGATAATTAGATGGTAGTTGCTGTAGAAATAAGAAGAAATCTATAATGCATTAAGTTTAATACTACAGTGTTAGGTAATATCAGCCAAGTATTATCATTAAAAAATCTGTAAAACATCTGCATACATTCTTTGAATAAGCTAATTAAAATATATATAAGAGATTAAACAAAACTGCCAATATACTGTATAGCCATACAAAAATATAGGGCTTTAAATGTAGTGTTGCGAAATAATCCATCATGTGGAAGAAGCATTAATATAAATTTGACAAAAGATCAATTATTACAATTGTTTAGTGCTCCCCTCCTTCAGGGCTGTACTAAATCATATACATATATAAAATTGCTCACATTGGTCTTAAACAGATATAAAGGTGCATAAACAATGTTTTGTCAGCTCCATTTTATACAAATGAATGTGTTATAAAAACACATACCCCCTAAGTACATTAATATTTCACTTACATAGACACAAACATTGTCAAAATTACCTTCACCACCCGGTAAATCATTACAAAGAGTGCACTTATCAGACAGATATAACAAAATGCTTCCAATTCTAAATTTAACAGAACAAAAGGGAGCAAATAAGACTTGATTAGGCTGACAGGTGAGCTGTAAACACCAATCTGCATGTAGCATTAGATCTTCCTGGGTCCAGAGTTCAGAGGCAATGGCAGTAAATGTGGATAAGTGAATCTGCCCAGGTTTGGTTCATTCGAGGTTTGATTCGACAATTCTTGTTTGAGGTTCACAAACTTTGTTGTGGACTACTTGGGCTACATTGAAAATACACAAATCCTGGTACATGGAGCTTGGCTTACATACAGCAGCAGCACCCCAGTCTGCTTTTATATCTAGTTTAAAGAAAGCTTTTAAAAAGTAATTTCAGCAGTGGCACATGCTTTGTCATCAGGCAGTAGCTTTGACTGGTGGAAGTAGCAGCCGCAATAGATATATAAGCCTTAGGTAGGCATCTTCTTTTTCAAGTGAAGACTGCATGGATTTAACGGGTAAAAAAAATAGCAACACAAAATAACACCCCCAACCAAAATATAAACCCTTAAAGACTAATCCCTTAAACAAAAGCCTAAAAGTCAAGCAAACTTTTTGCTGTTGCACAAGAAACCTAAAAAGGTCAGTTAGGTCTAGAGAGCTGGGGTGCAAAAGGATAGGTAGTCCACCACTGCAATCCACAGTATGGAATTATCTCTCCCTATACAGAATTGTCAGCGATCCATAACAGTTCCAAGACACAATGATAATATAGCTGTTGTGTGCACTTTTGAGACAGAAAGAGAGCCCTGAGCATCAATCAGCTCACCTATGAAAATGCCTGTGGACAGTTGAGGCTAATTAAAGAGGTAAGATGTGGACGTAAGAATGGAGGCTTTTTCTACCCAAAGCTCTACAAAGCCTTAGGGCTCCAGAAAAATTATCAAGATTCTAAGAAAACAAAAAAATGTGTTTTTATAGTATATTGTGTACTCTATATCAAACAAACCCTGGAGTTCTTCACCATGTGTAGGTGAGAAACATAGGTGACAGATATATACTGTCCACAATTTTGCCATACTATGCCGCACAATATATTAAAAAATCTGAGTTCTATATATAAAAATCTGAGTACTATTGTTTTCCTGAGATAAATTGGTGCTTGAATTTTCAAAACCCTTTTTTTGCTCCTTCCTCCCTCCCCAGTCCTCCATTCTTGCTCGGGTGTGTTCAGACAACCATACTTTGCATACTTTTAATCAAAATCAGTGGGTAACTTAATTTTGCCTGCATATTCAACCACCAATGGCATAACCTTCTTTCTGGCGGGTCAGAAAGGAGAATTTGTACTGTCTTCGGTTCTTTCCCCTGCCTGGAACAAGATATTTGTTTGCCAAATCGGATATAGCATTGTATGACAAACCGAAACCTATGGCAGGCAGTAAATTATTTGTCTTATATACTGAATAAAGTAAAGTTTAGACTTAGAACTGCAGAATAATTGCTTTGTATTGAAGTTCCATCCACAGGTGTGGTCATTTTCACAGCAGCTGCTTTCCTTTTATATTTGTTGGTAACATTATTCATTATAACTGCGAACATCCAGATTTATGTCTAACATCTACTTTTTATCCATAGACAGATAATGGGCTTTACCTTCTGCTGAATTTCTGCTGACTTTGATATAAAGCCCATGCATTGTTTTACAATAACTCAAATGTTGTCTAATCTCTTTCCACTCACTGCAGTCACTTGACAACTTCTGTTGTGTTCCCCCCTTCGAATTATGTTATTTAAATACATCCCATACCTATGTCATTATCGTATTTTACGTATTGTATGCATCTTTATATCATTTCTCTGACATGGTTTTTTTCTTGTTGGGATATGATGTAAGAGCCTGGCTGGTCTTCAATTTTAAAGTAAACCTTTTGGCATAGGGGAATTGTTATTTAAGTGTCAATAAGCTGTTGGGATTGTTCTTATCTGAGATGAGGATATAAAGCTTGATCCTTGAACAACCAGTACAATCAATATTTTAGTACTGCTATCCAGACAGGTGCATTAGATCTTCTTATGTGCTGTTCAGAAATATAAATTTACTGACTTCACACTTTTCAGAAAGCCAGTTTGGCATAAATGTGATTTTGTTTTCTACTACTGACCGTCACATTAGGGCATTTTTTTTTTTTTAAATGAGTAACGTATTTAGTGTTATCTCAAGCTAGCCCATAGGACTGGCACGCTGATATTGAGTGTTGGTGCTATCTGCCTATATGTTGTGTGCTATCTGTTGTGGACCTCACCATACTTCTGGTCCTTGCTTTCTACTGTACATCAAGCTATTCCTCTTGAAGGCGGTCATGTCCTCCACATTGTTGTGTGGCTACAGAGTCCTGAGATGAAAAACTACAACATAGAGCACAGGCAGGAGAGTGAACAGTGCCATGTGAAACATTCAGCTTGTCAGATCATGACATTGTGGGAGCCTAGTCATTGATATTTATGTAAACATTCCGTACATAACTTTTGAGTGGAGATATTCAATTAATGCCAATTTGGACCACAACCCTTTTCACAATTCTCCCCCACCCTTTTTTTTATAATGCCCCACCCCAAAGCATGGGACATTTAATAGTGGTACTATGATTGCAATGATTGGATTTTTAACTCTAGTTTAACAGTTATTTTTTTTATTTGTACCTGTTAAGGCGACTGACTTGGATTCTGGACTTTGGGGTGAAATCAAGTATTCTATATATGGTGCTGGATCTGATCCGTAAGTAAAATAAACCATTGTAATGCTAAATTTAGAGAAAAGTATGGTAAATACGTTTGCCATTCAATGTTGAAATGAGAAACTAATGTGCTACAAAAAAATATAGTAAAATACATCAAAATCCAATAATCTAATTGTGCCTGTGCATACAGTGTGTGATCGAAACAATAGATAAATCATACCTTTGTGTAAAGGTAATAGTGTTGCCATAAGTGTTACAATAACATGTATCAATAAAGTGTTGCAATCAATGTTACAAATAAGTATCACAATGTGAAAGTCCAATATGTTAGAAACTGTTGTGTTCATAAAAAGCACTCCCATGCTGTGAATAATGAATCCCGTCCCTCGTGTTCAGATAAATCCCCCCAAGGAAATGCACTCACCAGAAACCAATGACCGTGTAGATGGCCAAAATGCGTTCTCGTTAGTCAGGTGAAAGACTGATTCTCTGCAGACAATGCTGAGCTCTCCTTAGTGTTCTTTCCTATTTTTTCTGATGATAGCAGCTTCCATATCCACACATGTTCAAACAAAAGAGGAAGACACTCATAGTGCAGTAAATCCAATGATTTTTGTTAAAAAATTGTAAACACTTACATTAAAAACTTGAAAAAACGTCCGGCAATACTCTCCACTCACTCGTGTGTTAGAGATTACATCAATGGGATCCGCCCTTAGCGCGTTTCATCACTACAACTTTTTCAAAAGGACATCGGATCTCATTGACAACAGTACCTCACTTAATTTTATTCTAGATCTACTAACAACCCGATTGATGTAAACTCATTATGGTATGTTTAATTGAATCAATGTCAGACTGTATTCTATCAAAACCAAACAGGAGGGGGGGAATGCACTGATCTTATAAATTAATTTATTACAGGGAAATCATGTTCAAAGTAGTAACACTGAAGGCATATGAAAACTTTTTAAATCAATCATTAATCAGGAAGCAAATACGATCGCAATCCATATTTAACCCTTTTAACTAGATCAGCTGAAACCATGTGGGAAAGAAACTGATTTTTTAAAAAGGTGCTACTATGTAACTTCCTTGTTTTTTCCCACTGGAGAATAATACGTGTATATCAGATACCAGCGGATCAGGTATCAATTATCCTTTGGTGTCAGCTGATTAGCATATATGAATGAGAGCACATTATACAAACAGATTTTTATCTAATAAACTCTTTTGGTAATTGGAATACTTGATACTTGTCCTGATCCTCTGTTAACCCTTTTTAAACCAGCCACTCTTGTTAGCTGGTTTATCTTTTTGGTATATAGGGTTCATTTTGGTTACGGATCTGGTTGACAAAAATGAGATAAAGGGTAATTTAAATGGTTCGGATCTACAGGCAGAAACAACATCGTTTTCTATTAGTACTGCAGCACCGCATGGGGGCTGGGCACATGGAACACAAATAATGTATGCCTGTAATGGTGTTTAACTTTATATAATATTTTAAAAAAGACATTAAATAATGAAATTAATAAGTAGATCTTGCCATTGCTAACTAAGGCTTGTATCCCCCTAGTGGGGAAAATAGATGAGCACATGTTCAGACTCCAGAACACTGTAAAAAATTATAATATAAAGCCAGGTATGCAGAATTGGATATGGCTGTGCCACACTATACAGTGTTCTGGAGTCTGGACATGTGCTCATCTATTTTCCCCACTAGGGGGATGATAAATATTCATTTCATGTTCTTCATAATATGAAGAAACTGACCTAAAATCATTATTTTGTATTGCTTTAGAAAAAATGTGACCTGCCCCTTTAAGAAAAGTATCGGTAATTGGTATCGGTGAGTACTTGGGAAAAAGTATCGGTACTCGGTCTTAAAAAAGTGGTATCGGTGCATCCCTACTTTTAACGTTAGAGATAAATGGACCAAGGGGAAAAGTATATTAACACTGCTAAATACATGAATTACATAAAGCCAATTAAGCAATACTTTGTCAATAGACTGATATTAAGACGGACAAGAACAATATTATTATTATTATTTTTTAAATGAATTCAGTAGGCATGGTGTCATGTCTCTTTGGGGTCAGAAAATGAGAAACGGCTTCCAACCCTGCCTCATTAGGAATACATGTATATAGGGACAAAATATCCATATGCTAGTCTGCTTGAATAGCCTCAGAGGACGCTGCTGGCTTTCGTCATCATGACGGGACAGCCCTTCCCCCCTGTGTCCTGGATTATGTGGGCGTGACCGGAGGCGTATCTGATATGCTGACTGTGGTGGGCCACTCCCCTGTCATTAACAAACTGCTGTTTCTGACCTGTGCAGCTGTTCAGCTGCACATGTTTATATGGACTTCCACCCGTCCTTGTTACAAGCTTCTGAGATATCCATTCTCCATGTGATTTTTATTGTAACACACTATATTTCTGTACGAGGATTTTGATTTATACTCTGTCCAGTATGCTATTATTACATTTTCTGCCTTATGTAATGGAGGGGTCATGGGGTCATGTGATGTCACAAGGACAAAGCGGGCTGTGGGATTGGTTGATTTTCTCACTGTGGTGTGCATATATACATATCTCTCACTTGCATCTGTATCACATGCTCTGCCTGATGAAGGGGATCCTGTGAGACCCCGAAACATTGCATCGAGTGCATCACGCTATGCTGCTCGTACATCAATAAACAGACGTATTAATTTCACTATTTGGAGTGCCAGTGTTTCTATATAGTCTACTTTGTTTCTCAACACGTTTCTTGTGACCCTGTTGACTATTTGCAACAAAATGTTTGAGGGTTCTGTGATCACGCTCCAATATCTTAGCAATTTCAAGAGTGCTGCATCCCTCTGAAAGACTTTTTACAATTTTTTACTTTTCTGAGTCAGTTAAATCTCTTTGTTCATTTTGGCTGATTAAAAGAAGCTGCCTCATTATTATGCACACCTTGATATTGGGTTTTGATCTCCTTAGGTAACACCCTTCCTCATTACACAAATACACATCACCTGATATGCTTAAATCCAATAAGTCTTCAAGTTTATACAGCTTGGAGTTAGGACAATATGCATCAAAATTGTGATTTGGTCAAAATACTAATCTGCCTAAAAATTGTGCACACACTGTATTAACAAAATTGGAAAGGATTGTCAGCGCGTCTAATCATCTGTTGTTGTTTTTTTTGTTTTCTTTAAAATGTATTGTATACAATTATGATTAAGATGTATGAAAAGTATGTATAAAATGTATTGATTTTTTTTTAGATGACTTTACAACTATAAGTCTACTTGCTTTATCACCTGTATAGTATGAAAATCTAGCTTGGAGTTCAAACATTTAGGACTTGTATGTATATGGCTACATCTTTAGAGTAGCCTGTAGTCAACTTAGGTGTCCTAAAAATATCCACATCTATATAAAGTGCATTAAATGGAGGTTGATATTTTTCCAGCCACATATAATAAAATATCAACATAAGTATTGTTATATATTATAGATATCCCCTAAAGATGTTGTTTTGTATTCTTAGGTGTTTTGAATGATAATTTCCCTACATTTCAGTCTCATTATGACTCCAAGTAATTAGGATTAACAGAGAGGAAACTTCTCTTGCTGGCTATAGATACAACAGTGTATGCTGAGTATTAAGATAACCTTTGTGCTTCTCTGTGTAGACTACAAATATGCTCATTGGAGCATAAGGATTATCAGTATGACAAAAATTATTTGTAATATATATGCTGGAAGCAACCATTGTAACTGGAGAGCACTCGAGTTGCTGGAGTGAAGCAACACCTCTGGTGACAGGTTCAGCATGTTCTGCTGTAATTGTTGGCATAGATAGAATGTAACGTAGGTTGTGTCTTCCATCATGTGATTTCACAGCACAATGTGGATCTGGTGAATCTGTGTGATGTAACCATATTTGGAGTCTGCCTAATGTTAATAAATGCTGTAGCATTTTTAAGTCTTAGTGCTAGTCTACAGGCAAAATCGACCAAGGGAATTTGAATCACATACAAAATTCAAATACATGTTTATTGTTTTACTTGCTAAATATGTTTGGATGAGTATTCTTGTGTTACACACATTTCTAGCCAGAAAGATCACTGTGCTACTTGCTGGTTTAGTGTAACTGCTTAGCACTGCAGAGCACATGTTCTGCCGTGAAGAGTGGGTGTGGCTTATCTAAAGTGGACACGGCTTAGAAGGGATGGGTTAATCATATTCAGGATTTGACCATGGTAAAAAAAAGAACATGTTTTCCTTCAAATTCAGGAACTAAGGTAGTCTTTAACAGGTTCCTCTCTTACTTTTGTAAGTAAATAAACTTTTACAAGTTTATATAAAGGAAAACATATATAGGAATTTTAGGGGGGGGGCCTAAAATGGCTTTGTGGGGTCTTTTTAGGACAAAAAAGTGTGGGCTCCCCCAAAATCTCTTACCAGACCCTTGATCCAAGCAGCATCTTGGCAGAGCAGGAAAGGATTGTGCACCCCCCCTCCTGCACCTACCAGGCCACATGCCCTCAACATGGGGAGGGTGCTTCCCCATGTTAATTAGGACAAGGGCCTCTTTAAATAAGAACCCCTGTCCACAGACCCCCACAATCACTGGGCCAGGGTTGTGGGGTCTGCGGGTAGGGTGGCTTATATGAATCTGGGTGCCCTCCTTTCATAAAGGGGGCACCCAGATTTGGCCCCCTTCTCCTTAATGAATAAGGGGTAGTTGTTTCCCCAAATCATTCACCAAATAACAAGAACATAGCAAATAAACACACCATGCTCCAAAATTAATTACACCGCAATTTATTCCAAAACCCCCACCCCCCAAAAAAAATTAATCCCCAGGTCAATAACGTCATCCAGTGATGTAGATCCTGCCCGTCGCCTTGACAAAAGAAAAAATCCCTGCCACCGCGTCTGAACCGGAAAAACTCTGGCACTAATGACAGCTCTGCTTCTGTATGTAAACAAAGGGGCGGAGCGAGTCATGACATCATGGGACTTCTGCCCC